GTGCACACATGTTTCATAGATTTTCGTCGTAATGCACATCGACGTGCCACTACTTCTATAATTGCCGAGCATATTTTGGGAAAATTAGATGATCCGATCATACGATCCTACCGCTATTACACATGACATGGAACGCGAGTTTGGTGTGAAAATAAGTTACCAAAAAGCACATAGGGGCAAGGTGGCTGCTTTACAAATGCTACACGGTATACCGGGGGATAGTTTCCAGAAGCTATCATCATATTGTTACGTCCTAGGAGAGAGTAACCCGGGGACAGTAACCTACATTGAAGTTGATTCCCGTAACAGGTTTCATTACTTCTTCCTAGCATTCAGTGCAAGCATTCGTGGTTACATGCACCACTTGAGGCCTGTTATTTGTGTTGACGGTAGTCACTCGAAAGGTTCATACAAAGGTACACTTCTGCTGGCAACCGGCCAAGATGCCAACAAACAGATTTATCCTTTAGCATGGGGAATCGTCGATGTCGAAACGAACAGATCGTAGATGTGGTTTCTGTCGAACTTGAAAGAGCTTATAGGCGACTCAGATGAATCGGTTTTTATTTTCGATAGGAAAAACAGTATTTCTAATGCCATTGCTCACGTATTTCCCCTGCTTCACCATGGGTACTGTATTTGGCATTTGGAGAAGGACTTAATCCAGCGGTATAATAACGCAAGTGCAATATTTCTATTCAAATGAGCTGCAAGAACTTCTCGAGTCGAAGAGTTCGAAAGACTTATGAGACAGATTTGTAGGGTAAGTGAAAGAGCGTATGGGTACTTGGAGCAAGCTGATTTTTCATTTTAGTCACGAGCACTATTCTTTGGACAACGTTACAACATATTGACAAATAACAATACACAATCTTTGAACTCAATGTTGAGACGTGCACGTTCATTGCCCATCACATGTTTGATCGAACACATTCGCCAAACTATGCAAAAGTGGTACTACGAACGTCGAACCAATGCAACCACATGTAGTGCTATGTTATCATCGAGGATGGAAAGCGAGTTACGGACAACTTTCCAATGACACGAACATCGTGGACTTTTTCGATAACATATGCACTTGTTGTGAGTTTCAGCTTAATCGTATGTCATGCAAGTCGTGCTGCCTGTTTGCAAGGTAAGTCATTGTTCGATTTATGCTCACCGTTTTACACATCGAAATACTGAAGGGGTGCCTACAACGAAGTAATCTATCCTGTTATGCGTGAAGTGGACTAGATTGTCCCGAACGAAATTACAGGTACTGTTATTCTGCCATCAAGTGTACGTCGTCCTCCAGATAGACCACCTACAGGACGTTAGCGATCCAGATACGAGTGACCACATGAGTAAGGAAATGCACCCGTTGTGGTAGAGTGGGTCATAATCGAAGCACATGTTCGAATCCCTTTCTAACACGACCCGTTCAAATAGACTCATCTCTGTGACTGTCGACATTGTATGTTTACTTCTTACCGATGTCGTTTGTACTAAACCAATGCAGTTATTAGTATTTTGTTATCAATTGTACCCTTGTGTCACATCATAATTCCATGTTCATGCATGTCTCTACCATTCTCTGTACAGAAATGAACTTATATGAGCCAACTTGTAATAATAGAGAAGTTTTCCATAGTTACAGTTAAACTGTCAATCTAGACAGATGTCTCATTCATTTTCGACAATTGAAGAAAATTTGCACCACATTCAATATCAGCTTCACATACATGGTGAACTGTACATTTCGTTCATAGAATGAAATAAAATTACAAATCTTACAGGACACAACATCTTTAAAAGCATACAACTCACTCTCCAACTCCACGATTGTGCTAAATACTTGACGGTAGTCGGCAACACCTACGGTCCATCGACTGTCCACATGATAACAATTTTTTCAATCCCTGCCAAGTAAATTATAAATTGCAACATTTTAAATAGTTGACTGAACTGAGGGCATGATGCACCTTTTTTTTTAACATCCGCTCAAGGTATGTTGTGCGCATACCCATTATGGCCTTACATTATTCCAAATACGCACACGCACGAACGCATGACGGAATATATCTTTGAAACCATACAATTTTCCCTCGTATACCAATAACCTCCCATTTTTTGGTGCACTCGAAAAAGCATATTCCAATTCCCACGAAACAGATTATAATTTGCAACATCGTCAATACCGACACGATTGACCACAATTGAGCGCACGATAAACACAATTTCATAATATTGGCTCCATGTACTACAAAATACGGGTCCATTTACATAATACTGTCATTGAAGCCCGACACTTCATTTGTCATTCCCGACAGATTGTGTCTGCCATTCTCGACAGCTAGACCCCAAAATACACCATTCGTGACATCCTACGGGCATGGTCATGCATACCTTTACAATTTGTGTTCACCTAATAGAAGAAGTACAAAATACAGGACTATACATCACTTATTCACTACGAAACATGGGTCTCACTTCATTCATCCTCCACAACTGATCATTGTCCCCCGCTGTCATCACTTGACTCGTTCGACGAGATAATAATTACCTCATGTGGAACGTAAGCTAGCCAGTCTTCGTCGCTTCCCCCCTCATATCCAGCGTCGACCTCGAAATCCTCATTGAGCACTTAGTTGGGTGATTGTGCACCCTCTGCCGCTACATCTTCCATGTTCGAAAACGGAACGGGAGAAATGACTCTCCTACCAATACGAGGCTTAGCTTCTCCATCGTCTGACGAAATGTAGATTGGAAATAACGGAGATGAACCGAGAACTGGTAATGGCTCATTGACGTTGAACAGTTCGGTGCTTCCTGTGGACGAACTCATTACATCGATATAGTAAAGTATTGACGAAACGAATGGTGTGTGAGGACTTCTAATTCTCAGAATGGTATTCAACTAGGTTGTTTGTAAGGGACAATGAAGTTATATCCTGTATTTATAAGCAAGAAGAATGGGGGAAGCAATTACGTTCATAATCTACCCAACTACCATGTCCAATCTCCTTGTCAATGTGAAGTGTACCGTTATCCCCATTTTCCCATAATTAGCAGCACATATTAGGCTCATTTAATCATGTGTAGTATTAAGCAATGGGGATGTCCTGCAAATAAAATATTGTCAAACTAATTTCTAGTTACTTGTACCATGGTGAAAAGCATACAAGGTCTTGCCCGTATGGCTCATGATCTGAACGTACATGGTCGACGACCCATCGAAAATAATGACAGAGACATGAACTCATTTTGTAACTCGAAGGTTGTGGTTGTCATGGTTTTGACATTTTTAATGGCTCATTGTCTGAACTTTAACTAATATTACGAATGCACTTACACGTGATAATTGATACAATAACTTAGGACCGCTGCGGATATATGCTGTAATAAGTGCGAGCCAAGGGGCTTCATTGCAACACAAATATCTCTCTGTTTAAACATTTCAAATATACGTTACTACACGTCCAGTTTGAACAAATATCAGCTCGGGCCACGAGGGCAGCTAAGAACTCTCGAAGACTTGTACATTCCGAGCTCACGTGCTATTCGATTTCAAGCTTCACTGCCTGAAGTCGCATTTCAAATAGGATTCTTTGGTCCAACAGTAGCTCCTCCACGTCCCATCTACTAAGGCCTGGTGAAAATGTTCCAACAGCTCTTGCCTGTGTCATGCTCCGTTGCTGTGGAGAAGGACTTTACGACAGTCGAGGTGAGGAAGAGGTACCCCTATCTCCTCCATGGGTGTCCTCATCGGCGCTGGATCGGTCACCCTCGAACTCGCCAGTATCCTCACCGTCGGGATCGCTGCCCGACACACCTTTTTCCTCATCACCTTCGGATCTCTGCTCCTCACTGCTTCCTCCTTCGGATGCCTCCTCGTCAGAATCCTCCCTTCCTGCATGTCCACTGTTCGCTAAAATCCTACACCGCAAGTACACGGGTCGCTTTCAAGTAATAAAGTAGACATTTTGAGTCCAAGTATCGTCTCACAGAGATTGTATTAGTTTAAATTTAAATTATCTTCGCCTTAACCGAAACAATAGAAATTCTTGATATTTTCGCTAATTAAATTATGATTTAATAACTTACTTATAAATATAAAGCCTAAATTAACTAAATTAAATGCGTGATTATAACTAAATGCAAGTTCTATAAAAATATGATAACGAAATGCGTACTAAGATCCCTAATCCCCTTTAATCCGAATTTTATAAAATTGACAACACGATTCAATTATGAAGACCAATATTCCTAATTTGTTTAACAATCTCTCTCAAGTAGAATTAAACCTATTTTCACATGCAATCCGACTATATTTCTACGACGAATGCGAACATATTAAAATGCATTAAAAATTTATGAATACTTAAAGATCACGTAAAGTATAGCGGTATATTTCTATCCCCTATCAGACTTTACGACAATTAACATAATATCTAACTTATTTTCCATCTCTCGAGCGTAAAACAAGCCACAAATCTCATACAACCATTGCGCATATAATTGTAGAGAAAATAAAATCCATACCAATCATTCAATAATTAAAAACATATTTTAACGTCAAATAAATTCCAGATTAAGGGTTCATAATATAAGGTTCATCGCAAATCCTAGCACAAAATAATCTAGCCGAGCATAATGTTAAAATTAAACAAAGAGAAGTGGAAAAATATCACCAAAAATCGACCAAACGTGAATGATTCCTCAAATTTATTTTGCAACCGTCGACTTTGTGTAATTTCTCCAATTTTTCCCGTTTCCAATCTGCGTGTTTCTCTGCATCTATAAGGCAGCACCCTATTCTTTATTTCCAGTAGCCACCAGTTATGCAATTTTCAGATTTCTGTTTCTGTGCATGTGTCTGTCTATATCTTCTTACTCCAACAAAACAGCCACCAATGGTTTGTGTCCTTCCTCTGCGTGAGAATTTCCCAGCAGGCAGCTCGTTTTATGTTCCCTTCAATCTGTCTATATAAATATTATTTTTTTCTCCAGCCCTCGACCTTAGCTGCTGTGGATGTATATATAAATATATAATTCAATTTGCATCCTACTAATTCTTCCCAACAGCTGGCCGATTTTATCAGTTTTCCCTCTTCAATTGTCGGCCTCCGGTGGATGTACAAATATATAATTCAACTCACTTTGCAACCCAACAATTAATTCCCAGCAGCTGGTTTAATTATTAATTCCACCACTCCAGTTTTTGGCCTCCAATCTGTCCGTATATAATTCTTAAATTTAGCCCCAACCAGTCATCAATTTCAGCCTTTTTCTCTTGTTTTTCTGCCGCCCAATCTCTTTAATTAAGCCCTCGGCACTCTTTTTTAATTCTCCACCTAGGTCAACTTTTTCAGTCGACTTCTTCAATGATCAAACCCAGTTTCTATTCCAATTCCAATTGGTCTTATGCCCAATTAAATGTAATTTATTTTCCAAGGCTTCTCTTCATGGAATTAAGGTACTTTAGTCCTCGAATTGATTTGATAGTGTTATTCATATCCTTTTTTAGTTCAACACGAGCCCTTCAATTTGTAAAGTGTGGGACATTGTCTACAAACTTTCATCCAATGGCCAATTGATCATTTTCTTTTCCAATTGCTTCAAAACGGGTTCATAACTAAAATCAAAAGAAAATTAACACAAGTTAGATAAAAATTAATAATTTGACAACATAAAAGCCTAGTTATATAGTCCGAATAAGTGCACAAAATGCACTTATCATCCACCGCCGCGACTGCCGTCGCCCAATGCGTTAAATTGTGGCGCTACAACGATCCTTGAAATGTTATCCAGAACCGTAACGGGAGGATCATCGTACGGCATGAGAGCGAAAAATAGGGTTGTTGAGCCTCAGCATCGGTGGGATGCAGTGTTGCAAACACGTGGAGCTACAAAACAAGGTTGCAGTACTCACATTAGAAGGCACAAGATTGTACCGAAACGTTCGAAAAGGAACTTGGGATCGTGTTCTATGTATACCTTAACATTCTTGAAGAATGCATCGTACGTACGATGCTGTGGCTGTTTCCGTGCCGACCAGCGAAAAAGTCGTGGCAGTCGTTCGCCTACTCGCTCAGCAAAACGTTCCCCAACCTCCGGAAGCACCTCGTACGCCCATACTTGTCGGAGCAAGAAAGAGAAATTAAATTTCGAAAGATTCTAAGCATGACGCTACCAGGGAAAAATCAGGCATGCTACAATAGTAGAACGAATGGTCATACCTACATGACGATGGGAAAGTCGTGGCCGTGTAAATAATCTCCTTCTCCTTCCTCTTCTTCACCTTTTGGAATTTTTTTGCCCAAGTACCCCGGAATTCGTGCAATAGACGCCTATATCCGACCCTACCCCAAGGGTAGGTAAAAAATATAGCAAGGTTGTCCACGATTGATAGTGTAGGCAAATGGATACCGACATTATTATCCGGAGCATTGAAAACTCCCTCGAGAATTAGAACCAGCCCTAGCTTATAGCGATCAGCTCGGGGCATCGAAGATCGGGCCATAGTAGACTGGAGTTGAGCCAAAGAAATTTTGTTATTGGATTTGAAGTACCTCTCTTTCAACCTCCTCTTCTGTAGCACTCGTTCGTATTCAGCACCCTCTGGGAATGAACCGCGTCTTAACCCCGTCACAAGCGCGTACTCTTGTAGACCAAATCTTGTGAGGTGCTCTTGCACGCTAAACCATAGCTCGTAGAGCTTATTTGTGTGGATGGTTCTGAACGCTAGTTGCTGGATGAGTTGAGCAGATAATTGAATATCCGAAATCTCGGCCAGATACTCGAGGGAGGAGTTGCGGAAGTCCTCCCTTTGCCGCTCGTCGAAATGGTCCATTACAGTCTTCACCAGCTTGAGGTTGCTACGTTGCGAAATGTGGGCCCGCAACCTTGCATCTTCAGGTATACGGAATTTGAACTCCATCATGCCTACAAGGTGAATTGGAAAAAACGTGGTTACAGGATAAACATAAACAATTGTAACGTATATAGCAATTTAATGAAGCGAAAGCATGCGCCATAACAGTGAACTGTCGAGAAAAACTGAAGTCAACCGTCGGTACCGACAGATGATCTATCAAGACCTGTGGATACCGATTGTTGGAGGATTAACTGTCGAGAAAAATTGAGGTGAAACCTCGGGTACAACAGTTTGCTGGGAGTTGGTCTGCCTGCTAAACTGACATATGCAAGTGAACTAAATTCACATGCAAGGGCAACGAATTGAAATTCCCTTTAGTTTAAGACGACTGCAAATTACCGTGAACTAAATGGAAGGAAAAAATAACTGAAAAATACAAAACTAAGCAAGAGGGAGAGAGAGAAGCCTACAGCTGGGGGACGATGGCGGACATGCTATTGCTTTGATATTGAATGGATAGATGTCCTCAGCAATTAAACTGGACTACCTGTACATGACAACACAACAGTTGTGGCAATCACGCTATTGAACGAAACAACGAATTGAACATGACCAATTTATGGAAAATAACAAGATGAACTAAAAAGTAATTTACAAATTTTCCCTATGAAATCAATATTATTAACAATCCAGCTAAACAACGGCCTGTCAACGGATGTGTACATTTTATAAACTTCTTCCCAAGTAATTTTCAAATTGCACAACAATTGCCTGAAGTATAATATTTTTTTCTCATACGTAATTGCCCGAAGTATAATATAATTCAACAAGTTCCACATCAAGGTACAATTCTAAATGTTATCTATAAAAGGCATCCTACGAAAAGTTGTTTTAATATATTTCTTTTCACAAGTAAAATTATAGTGGAGTGCATTGTACATCTCAGCATGCTTAGGACCAAATGTCTAACAAAAATTGGAAAACAAAAAGGTCGTTTCCATAGATTATAAAGAAATGCACCACAAGTTACACGGCATTTACTGGAATGTCAACAATTGTTAAGGTAAATACTTCCATCGATAGTTTCCTCATTTGAATTGCACAAAGAACTTATGTTATGCACACAAACAAAATGACATTCCTTGAAAATTGAGAGACTTCCATTTTAATTATTTCTCATTTCATTTGCTCAAAACACTTACGTAATCTAAATTTTAGATGTTACCCAGATCAAATAATTGATAAAATTTGGATGTAATATGATGCGTTTGAAGATTAATTAAATATAAATAAATAAATGTGACTCAAAACTTCAATTTTTAAATAAAATAATTACTCATATTCCCAACCAAGAATAACAAAATACATTTATATCTAATGCTTAAATTTTAATCAACATTGCTATATATATATTTTATAAAAAGGACAGTATTAAAACCTAAAACTTTATTCGAGTAGTGACCTAATGCCTAAACCAAGATATAAAAATGTTTTTAAAATTTAAGCTAAAGTAATACTATATCATTCATACATCTGCATGTCCAAAATATCAACTTTTTGGATCTATATATGGACCGGTATAAAAATCCTTTATTTCAATAGCTGTAGGTCATTCGAATAGCTTCAAACGTAATTTCATGATCATAGAATTATTTACGAAACTCCATAATGTGATTACAATTTATAACACGTTGACGTTACAAATATAAATTAAAAAATATAATAATATTATTCCCCTAATAATAATTACACACCTATAAAATGCAAAAACTAAATTTAAGGTTTAAAACTAAATTTTATATGTTGTCTTTATGTCTGCAATGATTAAGGGCTGTGTTCCATTTTTCCTATCTTTTACTATTTGGTTCCATAAAATCTTGAATACTCATGAACAAACGGGAGATAATTATGGGTTGGCCAAAAACAAAGAAAAAAACAAATTTAAAGCATAAAACAAAAATTTCAAACCGATTTATACAACGTGGAACTCACGAAAACCCTTTCTGCAATTTCAAAATACCAGAGTCAATTTTCCATGAGCCAACAACATTATGGGTTGGCCAAAAACAAACAAAAAAAAATTTTAAAGCATAAAACAAAAATTCCAAACCTATTTATACAAAGTGGAACTCACAAAAACCCTTTCTGCATTTTCAGAATACCAGAGTACATTTTCCATGAGCCAACAGCATTGATTCCAGTAGAGGTAAAAAATTTACACGGGAGCGAAAAAAGGAAAGAAAACACCGAACCTGAAGATATCGTAGAGGACCTTGGACGCCGAAGGTTCTACCGATGGTCTTCGACGATGGGGCGGCGGGTGATTGCAGCAAAACTTTAAAAAAAAAAATTAAAGCATAAAACAAAAATTCCAAACCGATTTATACAACGTGAAACTCACGAAAACCCTTTTTGCAATTTCAGAATACTAGAGTACATTTTTCATGAGCCAACAGCATTGATTCTACTAGAGGTAAAAAATTTACAAGGGAGCGAAAAAAGGAAAGAAAACACCGAACCTGAAGATATCGTAAAGGACCTTGGATGCCGAAGGTTCTGCTAGTGGTCTTCGACGGTGGGGCGGCGGGCGATTGCAGCAAAACTTCCAATTTCGTTGACGGCCGGGTGGTGGTCGATTACAGTGAGAGAGACGAGTGAGATTGGGGATTTTGTGTCTATCGATTTGTCTTCCTTCCCTTTGTTTTCATTTCATGTCTTATTTGTTTTTTTTATTCGTGGTTTGGTTTCCAACATTAATTGTCATTTCACCTGACAATTAACACAATTTTTGGTACAAGGACACAAAAGGTATTCTAATGATTCAGAGGGACAAAATTGTCCTAAATTGACATTTTTTATAAACAATTTAAAATGTGGCATTTTTTTATAATACATACCCAAATTTTGACACCCAATGAAATATCCTCTTTAATTATATGATTCTTGGTCAATACTTGAGAGGGTGACCTCGGAGTTATCGCTTGAAGTTAAATAACCCCTATAATAAAATGACATTCATGCTTATTTGAATTAAATATTTTTTTATTTTTATGTTTTTATTGGCTATAATTACTTAGATTAGATTAGTAGGATTGATTTTCATAGTCATTTTCTAAGTAAGTGAATAAAGTTTTAATGATGATGAACACCCTATGCGAATTGAAGTTTAACCACTAGATGTGTGTGTATGATCTCAGTTCTTGAATATTTATTTAAATCTCAGATCATTTCATATGAAGACAAGTCAAAAGAAATGGGTTTTTGGACAAAAGAGGGTTCTCTCCCGAAATTGTGGATCCACGCGTGGGCCCATCTTTAAATTTTGAAAATGAAGTATTTTTGGTATTTAATTATGAACGCTACAATTTTTATATTGCATCGTATTTTAATTGCTTTGAAGACCTCGATATTCTCTCATTGTAACACTTATATTCCAACTTTTTTTTTATTCACATTCTTGTCTAAACATTCTATTAATTAGCACATTTCGTTTCTAATAATAGTTTCTATTAAAAAAAAATAAAAAAGTCATTGAATAATAAATACAAAAAGTGGGACAAAATATTTTTTTCCCTTATTTTAAGCAGACAAACAAAATATTTTGACAAAAATAATGATAAAAAATGAGGTATGCAAATTAATTGAAAATTGAATATAAGAATTTGATGAAAAAAGTTATAAATATAAGTACTACAATGAGCAAGTTAAATACTTTGTGTGCAATTATATGACTGGCCTTTATTAATTAATATTTTGAGTTATCCTTGGAACTCATGCCAACTTAAAAACATTGGGTAAATTTAAGTTCTTTGTTTTGTTAAAAGTCAATTAAACTCTTTTTATTGTGCCCTAAAAATTTGAGTGGGATCAGAATCTTTCCTTCCTCTTTGTACACAATTTTCCTCCTAAAATGTAAAGAGCTACTCTTACCATGTTTAAAACATAGTTTGACTTCAATTGGAGAATAATGTTGAAGCACAAAAGGGTTCAATGTTTTTCTCCCGTTTTTATGTTTATAAATTATGGGCTCGTTTGTTTCTCATTTTTAAAAGAATGAGAATGAAAAATATAGTCGTTACGGGCCCCACACAACAGATAAAATTTCAAATTTGGTGATTTGATGTGATGGATAACAATCATATTTTTCATTTTAATGAGGAAAGAATGGAAACGGAGGCTATATGTAAGAGGCGAAAGGGACAACACATGTGCACGCACACACCGCATTCTAAGGGTGGTTACAAAAGTGGTTTGTCTTTGAGATAGTGGGCTTAGGCCAAAAGTTGACTAACCATTTTATGGACACTTGCATCGTATGGTTCCCACTCGAAAATTCAGGAATTTGGACACTTACATGTTAAGTACATTAACCATTATAGTGAGAACCTATACTTTTTTTTAACCTACTAGGAGAAATTCAATTTTGAATTTGGATGGATGAACATTTTACTTGGAATATGCAGTAACGCCATGATAAACGCATTTGAATAGTGTTTAAATTATTATTAATATTTTATACGAATCATGTAAACTCGAATGTAATCTTGAACAATATTGGCTAGAACGGTAATTTAGCAAGATTAACCTAGAATTTATAGATTTATGTATCTCCTCGAGGTATCTTGCTTCTTAAGCTCTTGAAATCATCATAGTGGTAACATGTGATTTGATTAAGCCTATGTTTAGTCCTCATTTTCTAAAATTTATTTTTCTTCATTCTCATTTTCAACTACATGTTTCTTGAGATTCATAACTTTTATCTGCTTCTTAACTACATATTTCGTTAATTTTTAGCAAAAGCTACTAAAATTTGATTTTTAGCTAAACCAAATGGGGCTAACTGGTAGTTGCAGGCTTACTTTAATTATAAAAAATCAAAATTTTACTTCCAAACAACAGTATGAAAAAAAATGAACAGGGCCTTTGACAGGTGCTATGTGGCTCTTTTTTCCGAACTGTCCAATGAATGTATGACACGTGTCCTCTATTTTTAAATCATGTCATTGACCTTATTTGTATAGCAACATTGAAAAAAAAGTAATGCCAAATAAGATAACTGCTAGTTTTATAGTATTTATACACATGGTAGAAATAGTTTGCATTTTCGTGGAATAACATCGATTTTGATGTCATCTGGGATAGAAAGTACTCTGGGATATGGTAGTGATTGAAGCAGGATTGCCATTCTCGACTGGGGAATGTTGGTCTTGATGTGTGTCATTTAGTTCTATGGTCTCGTATATGTAGGGAGGATTATTTGGTGCAGGAAGGTGCTCTTCTTTGTTTACCAGCATCTCTAGTGCTTTAGACATGGATGGTCATAGGGACGGGTTCTCTTGAGTGCACAAGAGTCCAACATGTACAACTCTTAGAATCTCCGTTTTAACATCCACGTTATGATAGTTATGCAGCGTTAAGTTTGGATCAAACATCTCCTCTACTGTTCTTCGCTGGAAATGATTCCACACCTGTTTAAATCCAAAGTAATGTAATGATTTCATGATCATTGGCCGCTTTTATTCTTGATTTATTATTCTGTGAAGTAATTCTATGATTGAAGTCACTTGAATTATATTCCTCAACATTAGCCAAGAGTTGAAGAATCTAGTGAGTGATAAAAACTTCATTTTGTCTATAATAACAGTTGGATGTAGCTAAAACTTCAATTTGGAGGACTACAAATAATATACCCATGACAGAACTGTGATTATGAAACTTATGAAACTAAGATACATGTATAGATTCCATCTAGTCTCTACTTTAAAATGATTTTCGAAGTATATAAAAAAGAGAGAGAGAGGTTTGAGAACTTACTAGTGTTAATGAGCTATCCGAGTACTCAGAAGCTTTGCTCCTATTGTTCTGTCCTCCAGTGACAATTTCAATAAGAAGTACACCAAAACTATACACATCTGCTTTTTCTGTCAATTGACCACGTGCTAAGTATTCGGGAGCCATATATCCTCTACATATTTTAAAATTGAAGAATCAATGTATAAATTTGGTTTCTATATTAGGGAGTAGGCTTTAGGATAAAAGGATAAAACTCACAATGTTCCAGCGATGGCGGTGCTAATATGACTTTTGTCTTCTTGAAAAGACCTTGCCAACCCAAAATCAGCAATTTTAGCATGGAATCTTGAGTCCAAGAGGATATTACTTGCTTTGATGTCTCTGTGAACGATTCTAGTTTTTGTGTTTTCGTGAAGGTACATCAACCCTTCTGCAGTCCCTATAATTATCTCAAATCTCTTCTCCCAGTTCAGAGTTTTACCTTTGCTTGAATCTGTCAAATTCAATATAACAGCATATCTATTGACCATTTTATCACTGCCGAATACGGATTGAAAAAGGAATGCATAATCATATAGAATTCCAAGTCGTGATTCTAAACCAGCAACCTGAGAAGCCATACTTATATCAAATCATAAATTGCCCTTAATTCAAGATCTAGTACTTACCAAAGATAAAGAAATCAAGGCTCTTGTTTGGTAAATATTCATATACAAGAAGACTTTCAGGTCCCGAGAAACTGCAACCCAACAACCTGACTAAATTTTTGTGCTCAACACTACTAATAATGTTGACTTCATTGTAGAAATCTGTTCTTCTATGTTTGTTGTTAAAGAAAAGCCTTTTTACTGCAATTTCTCTTCCACCTAGCAACACTCCCTGCAATAACAATTTTTTTTTTAGCTTAGACATCAATCTACAACAGTGCTCTTCATTTCCCAAATCTGGAAGAATGACCTTGTACACTGTGCCAAATCCACCTTGCCCAAGCTTGTTGGCTTCATCAAAAGAACCAGTTGCCTTCTCAAGTGTGGAATATTTGAAGTTCAAGCAGTTACCATAAAGGGTGTTCGCGAGTTTCTCTGCATCACCTGTTGATGGTTGATGATTGATGTAATCTTTTAGTGAAGAAAGGTGCAAAGTGATGCAAAGCTAAGGTGCACTTGTCATCATGCTTATATAGGCAAAATGCATTCTACCTTTTTTCTTCTTCTGTATTGTTCTGTGCTTCCGGATATAAACTCCAATGACTGCTCCAATAACCAAAACAGCTATTGAACTAACAGTTGCCACAGTAATGGTTGTTTTTTTCCCTGAAGAAGTCAGTTGAAAAGGCATGATCTGGCTATATTGATATAAAAGTAAAGTTTTACTTCTTAAGACACACAGTAAAAGTTTCTAAAACTGAAAGAGGGAAGAAACATAAAGAGAAGGAATGGAAGAAAGAAAGCTCAACCTCGAAACGGTTGTAATTTGTTCAAATTATAACAGCGAGAATTAGGATATTATTAGATGCTTTCAAAAGGGGGAAGTTGTAAATAATGAATGGAAGGATGGTGGAACAAACTTCAAGGACCAAGGAAAACTTGTCTTTTGGAAGGCAAGATCCAAGATGGCGGGGTTCCTACAGCAGGCCTTTTAAGCCTATGCTCTGAGATCGTGGATATGGGCTCCGCGACCTCGACCTCGACCTCGACCTCGACCAACTAGCCTGATTGTTGGATGACAAACATAAGATTTAACATCTCTGAACAATTACATACACTTCCAATCGTCCAAAATAATTCAGATATATTCAAAAGTCTCCTTAGTTCTTAAAGGTTCTTCATTATTCCTTGGTGATTAACGTTCAAGGCTTGATTAATCTTGGAGCTGGTTTTTGGTGCGTCCCATAAGCAATCTCAAGGACGAGAGGGGAAAAATATCACTTCAGGACAGCATTTTCTTAGTGTTCAAGCCCATAATTCCGGGTTTCTTCTTTCCTTTTTGTGATTTTGTTTGATCTTCATCTTCTACATTTCCTGTATTTGATTCCTCTCTTAGTTTTTATATATTCTGAGACTATGCCTCTCGTGAATTTTCAACAGAAACTTTTAAGTGCCGGCATAATAAAAAGAGATGAAAATTATTGTAGAAAATAGAAATGCCAGGGAGAAGAACATGAAGCTGTTTTTACCTCTTGAACTTCCATTTCCTTGTGCAGTATTTAAACTTCCATTTCCTTGTGTAGTATTAAAAATTCCATTTCCTTGTGTACGATTAAGACTTCCATTTACTTGTGTAGGATTAAGGAAGTTGGTATCTGAGTACCTCATGAAGCACCCTGCATTCAGCGCCCGACCCTCAGACCGTGGCAAGCATCCCAAGATAGATGCAGATGCATTCTCCAAACAAGCTCTGCAATAGTCAACACTAAGTGTTCTACAGCAATCAGCAAGAACATAGGCTGACTCATTTGCTGTCCCTGACACGGGCACTTGTGCTCGTGCATAGAAATGTGATGGTGCTGCTGAAACTACTTTTTCAACAGCCTGCCTTGCAGAAACCCGAAATGCAGAATTTTTTTGCGTTCTATTACCACAAAGAACCCTGTCATTTGGTCCAATATATTCTTGGAAGAAACTATAATTCTCAGCTCTCATGAAGCAGCCATCGAGGAAAACCCTTCCACCATTGTAAGGAAAGCACTGAGGGAGAATAGTGCGTGCTTCAGCATAGCATAACACACATTCAAGTAAAGAAAGATCACCATAACAGTCTGCTAGTGCATAATTAGTGTCGGGGCCTGAGCTGGTTACCGCCATACCATAGCCCGAGGTTTGCATTTGCGGACTTAACTTTTCCATTGTATCAACAAAGTTTGGGACAGAAATGGAGTTGTTGTGATAAAGTTGGTTCTCACAGATTATCTGAACCGTCTGAGCTCTTGGATCTCCGAATGCTGCGTCTGGTAGTAGCAGATTAACCAGAATAACAGTGATAGCAGATTGAAAAGCAATGAATTTCTTCATTTTCCAATTTGTTCAGTTAAAAACTGACAAAAACAAAGGCTCTAATAGAAATCTAGAAAGAGATTCAAACTTGCTGTGAATTGTAACTGGAACAACAGAATTGAGAAATCAAACCTTAACAATGGAGCTGATTTCATTCGAGTCAAGATAATGGTCTATGGAGACTACATGATCCATTCAAGAAAAAAATAATGTGGATCGATTTTCCATTATTATATATAACTATTGGTTACATGTGACACTTCTCTTTGCTATCTATTGGCTGAAGGAATAAATAAATTCGCTGTCAACAATTGAAACCAAAGAATATTCAAGGAACCCAAAGTTGACTACCTGTTTTTGAGATGGTTGGTTGAGCGTCCTATGGCCAGAGGATGGATGCAAATGGTGTCAGGTGGGCTAAAGTGAGCTTACAAAATTTTCTAAAGACTTCGTTGGTCCTTTAACTTCTTCAGTGCCCCATTTTTTAGCAGCGAAAGCATGGTCAAGATAAAGAATTTGATAGGGTAAGATTCTTGCTGAAGAAAGAGAAGAAGGATAGATAAAAGGTGGCAAATCAAGAATTTGCCTTTAAAGAACCAGACTAGTTATGCAACAAGTCAAAAAGGTTTATCAAAAAATATTGAGTTAATCCAGGGGTATATAAGGGGGCACATAAGGGTGTCCATGAGCGCCGGGTGTCCAAAATGTTCATTATTATGTACCCATAGAATAATTCAAAAATATTTATGCAGTCATTTGGAGCAATAAAAGTGGAGCTTTTACCGTAAATAACCTCAACCTTTCACATTTCATAAGTATATCATTTTTGTGTTAACAAAGGTCAAATTTTAGATGCAATTCAGTATCATATCTTTGCAAGAGAGCCGCTGAAAGCAAGGCCATAATCAAATTAAAGATGGATGAATAGTGCAATATAGAAAACGAAGTCGGTGTTCATAAATAAATAATGAGTAAAACCTCAGTAATGGAGACAACCCATAATAATTTTCAAAAAAGAAAAATAAAATTGAGACCCCACCTTAATTATATATATAATTAGTAGCCAAGAGCCAACTCAAATTACTCAATCCATAAAATATTTCACTCCACAACAAAAGATTTTTATAAAATATACACACACCAGTCACACTACAAAAAATCCAGTCATAATTGAACGTCCTTCAGTGTGAAAGCAAATGGTCAATATTTAGTCCTTGTTTGACAGCCATTAAAAAAGTGACAGAATTAAACATTTTTTATCGTGAGATCAAAATTAACTTACAGTTGTTTATATGGATTGAACCCCAACTTGCATAGTTTTGAGGCATTCCAGTTGTTGAAAGCTCATGTATATTCATCACTGACCACATGTTAGGAAAATGTTAATAATAATAATAATTCGTGGGGCAGTGACCCCACATGAACTCATGTGGATCGGTCGCTAATTAAAATGGAAAAGTGATAAACTTTACACAAAGTTAGACCTCAGTTTTGAATTTTTGGAGGCAATAGAAAAAAGAAAGCTGTATTGTACAATATTAAATACAAAATCTATTTTTTAAGTTCTGCTAATCAGCACCTAATCCTGTTGATAATCCAGCTAATGTAGAGTTCATTTGTCAAGTTTGAGCCGATCCCACACAAAAGATAAAAAGTGACTTGATGTGATCAATAATAATCATATTTTTCATTTTAATCAAAAAATAATAAGGCTCAAACAGGGCCAAAATTTACTAAAACAACAAACAGAAATTAAAAACAGTTTTCCACTTTTACGTTTCTCGAATTTTGAGATGATTATGTTTAAGTTTGAACCAAATTTCATTAGATAATGGTGGATTGATTAAAAGGGCTTTGAAGAAGTTAAAAGATATACCAAGAAGGGTTTGAGGCAGATATTGGGCATTCGAGCCCCTGAACACGATTTGGAGCATCAAGAGAAGTTTGGAGCAAGGATGAGGCACCTGAGGGCCGTACTTGCAGGGCTTGAGTGCTGCCTTGCTGCTCGCTGCCTGGAGCTTAGCCACTCGGGCACCAGTGATACTCGGCCCAAAATCTGTTTTGCAATTTGATGGATTTTAAAATACTCTTTCCATCTAATATACTATAATTAGGGTTGGACATGTACTCTATATATAGTTGACTCTTCATTGTGATATTGAACAAGTCGAAAACTCAAAATTATTATATTGTTTCATCATATACTGAATTCTCTTCTTCTACCTGTGAATTTTTTTCACGTAAATCTTGTGTTTGTGGTTGTTTACTTTCATATTGTTATATTCTCTTTCCTTTATTTCCAAAAAAGTGGTACTAGAGCGATGTTCAATCAACTCAGTTCGAGGTTTGATTTTTGTGATGACAACCATGAAGTATGATATTTTGTATTTGGATCATAACACAAGATTTTCGTTATAATATGTAAAGATGCGAGTAGCCCTCGCTTAAATGAATTTGACAAGATGCTCTTACCTTGGATATTAGAGGAGAAACAACGTAAAGATCAAAATATTCTATCATATATTGATTTTCATCCTTCGATACATATTTTTCAGGACGTTTTAAAGGAGAAAATCACATTTACGGATAAAATTGAAGCAATTAAACATTGTGAAAAGTCTAACTAGCAAATTGTATTTCAAGCAGCGATTATATTTTCATTGTATGACAAAAGATACAGTATTAGAATATCACCTAACTATTTTTAAGGAAATTGTTGTTGATTTGAAAATTTTGGAAATCAAGTATGATGAAAAAGATTTAGAGTTGATTTTATTGTGTTCCCTGCTTGCTTCATATATTTTTTAGAAATGCGATCTTATACAATTGTTATACTCTTACCATTAAAGAAGTATATGATGCTTAGTTTTTAAATGAGAAGATGAAGCATCTTGTTGGGTCTGAGGCTCATGAAAATTGTCTTGTTGTTTATGCTGTTATGTAAATGTCAGATCAAAATTTAATTAAAGCAATAAAATTTGTAATTAATGAAAGCAGAACGGGCACATTAAATTTTATTAATATTAGTTGCAAAATAAAGAAAAGAAAAATTGGCTATGCGAATCATAATGAAAGAAATTAGAAAATTCAAGTGAAGCCAATATTGCAAAAGATTGCTACAGTCATGGAGAACTTTTGTTATTTCTAACGATGACTTCAAATCTAATGAGGATTGAATTCTTGATATAGTTTGCAAGTTTCATATGTGTTCCAACTGAAATTGATTTTCAACATATGAAACAATTTTTGAAGATAATGTTATGATGGGAAATAATGTGTCTTGTGAGATAGTTGGTATTGGAAGAGTCAGAATTAAGATGTTTGATGGGACGGTCAAGACACTTGACGATGTGAGACATGTTCCAGATTTGAAAATTATCTCCTTCGGTCCTCTTGATTTAAAAGTGTACAAATACAGTAGTGAAGGTGGAATCTTGAAAGTTGTGTTGCAATGAAAGGCTAGAGAAGGTCTCAATTATATGTCTTACAAGGTTCTAAGGAATCTTTGGATACCAATCGTAGAAATTAGGCACTTGAATGGATTTTGAGTTAGAAATAGTACCGTTGAAGTTTAGTTTAAGGTTTATATTAAAGAATATATCTAAGTCGAGTTCAAAAATTATGAGTAATGTCGCTTTGCCACTGCCACCAGCTCTATCGCGACAATCAATAGAGACTGATTTACTTGCTTCTTCTTTAAATGTAGTTGAAAGTATTGATTCTAGGCAATAACCTTCTACAGAAGCAATTAGTTGTGTTGATTCTGTTACAAGATATATTCTGATCCTATTTTGGTAATTATTGAGGTATTTGTAATCTTGTTGCTTGTGATGATAATTTGAACAACTTTGAAACCCAAGATAATCTTACTGTACAATGCTTGGAATCAATTGATATTCGATTATTAGGTTTGCCCTAGTTGAGCTTTGTAGAAGAAGTGAAGAATTTTTCCGTAGGAGGATTTTTGCTAGGGAATTGCTTGTTTAAGAGTGAAGAGTAATTCATTGCAATGAAACTTGTGTCAATGTGGATATTTGTGTTTTGTGATTATTTACTTTCATATTGTCATATTCTTGTTTTTTTATTTCCTAATATATTTTTCATATCATCTGAAAACTATGAATGATAATATTAACAAGCACCGACAAAACTATGGTGGGTCATGTGCCCCACCAAAATTTTGAACTTTTTAATGAAAAAATGTAATATATTGATCAAAATTTGAAATTTTGGTCAATTAATAAAGGATTTTTTTACTTGTATATAAAAATGGTATATAAGCGGTTGCCGAAAGTAATGTGGAGGAAAAAATTGGATGAATAAATTGACTGTGTTTTACATCGATAAATGACAAAATGTCGTGTGAGAATTATGGAATCTCTTATATAAACATTGATATACATGTAACAGTATCCATAAATAAAATTTTGGTCGAACATGTTAAAAAAAAATGAAAATGACAAAAAAGAGAGGTGGTGGTTGGGGGAATCGTTTTAAACAATTTTATCAAAATCCTATATACTTTCATTGATTTCAAAATTTATACAAAGAGAGAGAAAAACGGAAGGATGAACAGAGAAAAAGTAGAGTTGAATAATTCTCATATTTTAACATAGTGAATAATATTCAGTGGGGGAACTAGGGTGGGCATCGTGGTTCACTTGTCCCAAGAAAATTTTGATTGTCAAAATTTAAAAAAAATAAAATAAAAATGTAATAAATTGGTCAAACTTTGAAATTTTAGTCAATTAATAAAATTTTGGTCATAATGTTAAGCTAAAAATGACAAGAAGTGAAGTGGTAGCTTGGTGGGATTCGATTTAAACAATATATCAATATATACATCCTAATCCACTTTCAGCGATTTCAGAATTTATACGGAGACTGAAAGAAAAACGGGAGAACGAATAGAAAAAAGAAGAAGTCAAATAATTATAATATTTTAAACTAATGAATAGTGTTTAATATACTCTTTTTTATTTTATGTTAAAATTTAACATCATTCTAGGAAGAATTATATTGATTGATTTGTGTATCCTCTACAAAGTGCTTAGATGGCTTACGTTAAAAATTTAACATCCGTTTGGCAAATTTATAAATGGTTTATAAAGAGGAGGACGGTGCAACAACGTCAAAAAGTTAACTTAGGTATAAGAACACACCACTAGGTTCCTTCAAATATATGGTTAAAAATCTTATTTTTTGAAGTGTATAGTTTTTATGCTTTACTATTATATCTCTCATTCATTACATTCTATGACTCATCTACTCACATAATTTTTCGACTTCAAGAAGCCAGAAACAAGAAGAGCACAAAAATCAAAACAGATTAGACAGATCCCAGCAAAATTTCTTAGAAAAAACATGACACTAAGTTCAAAAATTTGTCGTTTTTGTTCTAAATTTCATCTTCTTCATTTCTATGAGATCGAAGAAGAAGAAGAAGAAATAATGATTGAGTGATTTTTCTAGGGAAATTCATTTTACGGTTTTGAGATCAAATTGCAATGGGTTTACCTGTCTTTCGTTTACTGGGATGGGACTGGTAAAAGTGCACCATTACAATTTTTCGGGAGGTAAGTTTGTGTTCACATAAAGCGGTCGCCCCTGCTCCTGCTCCAGTGAAAGAGTGATCCTTTCTTATTCAAGAAGATACAGAGATAAATTATCAATTCAGGGCCAAAATGATGTAATATGAATTGATGAGAAAGTGCCAAGAAAAAAAAATCGAATTTGCTAGACATAGAGAATTTTGAGTTTATAAGGAAACTCGTTTATCATTTTAATAAATTAATATTTTAAGAAGAAACTCTAAATTTTAACACGAGATATAAAGATGTGTACTATTAGAAAATTATGTGAAAACTCGCATGTTTCAATTTGAATACATAAAATTTTATTGTTAGTTTCATTCTGTCTAGTCACTTGGCATTCCTTATGTAGCCAGTTTTTTGTCTCCATTTGCTGACCATAACGTTTTATATGTTTCATAGGTAATGGAAATATATAAAGCCATTCAATTTACAGAATAAGTTGTATTACCTATAAATTTAAACTGGATAACAATATTTCCTATGATTCATAGAAAGAAATGTCACATTTAGAAGTTTTTTATTTTAACATTGTTCTACGATTCGATTAATAAAAATACCTATTTTCAAAATTTTGAAGAGCAAAATTTGACGATGTCAAATCTATTTCACAAATTATCCAAACAAATTTATAGCGCTAAAAGAAATAGAATTTTCATTGTCATGTTCAACATAACGTACAAATCTGTGTGCTCTTAGCATTAAAAACTAAACCAGCATCAACACCTTCCCCATAATCGAAGACAATCCTTCATTGGCAGAAATTTTCAAAAAAAACAGGTAACCATTTTGTCTGAAAATCTCTTATTAATAATAAAATTTTCTCAAACGCAGTGTCGGCCCAAACTATAGGAGCAGTAGACAATTTCCTAAGGTCCCGTTTTGACGAGGGCTCCCAAAAACTTATTATATAGATTGTATTTATAAATGATAAAGAATTTTTCTCTTAAGAAAAAATATGTTCTTTAGAGCGTAAAAGAAATTTTTATTACATTAGTAAAGTTCAATTCTGTTTGTTTTTCATTTTCGCATTTTAACGGTAACTCTCTCTCTCTCTCTCTCTCTCTCTCTCTCCCTCTTTTTATTTTTAAGTTTTTCCTTTTTGTCGTTTCTTTTGTTCGTCAGTGACCTTTCAGCTTGTGTCAATATACTAGAAAATATTATCTCTGATTTAGTGTAACATCTTATATTAAATATTGTCTTTGCAACAAGAGCTTGATTGAAAGGGGATAGGGAGGAAAATTTGACAGTACTATTTCGAGGACTTCTCACCCTAATCTTATTCTACTTTTTTTTTATATAAAACTACGATAGATGAAGTCTCATGATTTAGTCTCGTGATTTAGTTTAAATCATATCCAATTCCAGTTAAATCTGTAACAAAAGTCAGCCTTGTTCGCCAACTCCAATGAATAAAAAACATCTTCATTTTTTTATTTTTTTTTTCTGAGTGTTGGGAGCTGGAGCCCAATTAACGAATTGATTCCTCATTGTTGTTACTCGCTTTCTTGGACATCATTAGTTGTTTTTAACTTATATTGAGA